TCAGAAGAAAGCAGGGAAAGTCAGGAATGTTGCAATGCAAACAATATATATCCAAATATACATTCTAACCCCAACCCCATATAAGGTTGTTTTTAAGCATGTTTTGCTTTCTTTTTTTCTTTCTTTTTTCTTTTTTTTAGACAGAATCTTGCTCTGTCACCCAGGCTGGAGTGCAGTGGTGCAGTCTCAGCTCACTGTAACCTCTGCCTCCTGGGTTCAAGCTATTTTTGTATCTTGGCCTCCAGAGTAGCTGGGATTACAGGCGTGTGCCACCATGCTCGGCTAATTTTTGTATTTTTAGTAAAGATGGGGTTTCATCATGTTGGCCAGGCTGGTCTCAAACTCCTGACCTCAAGTGATCTGCCCACCTTGGCCTACCAAAGTGTCAGGATTATAGGCATGAGCCACCGCACCTGGCCCACGTTGTGCTTTCTTGAAGTCAGACTATATTATATATCTAAACCCCAACCCCATATAAGATTGTTTGTAAGCACACTGTGTTTTCTTGAAATCAGACTATAGAGCCAGGATAAATTAATTGTCCATAATGCCATACATGGCCCTATTCACAGCCATATAATTCACATAGAATTATATGTGGGAAAACAGATCGAGAAGATTAAAGTATGATACTCTTTTGATATTTGGTACTCAGTGATCTCTCTGAGCTTCTGAAGTGGAGCATACTCAGGAAGCTGACTCCTTCTAGTTTTATTGGATTCTCAGAATGTTTAAAGTATCCACCTCACACCCCTCGCAGAAATTCTCCCTTTGCAGCCAGGATTATGACTTTATAGAGGGAAAAAGATACGGCAGCTACTAGTGGCTAGTGTACAGGCCCCAGAAGATGGCAGAAGTTGCTCTAATGCTTGTTAAGGACACTGTAAGGTCAAAGAAGCAATGCCAACAATCCCACCATTGTCACACCCCTGCTGCAGCCCCCTGTAGGACACCACAGAAAGTCTACACAGTAACACGGGGACAAGAGGCCACATACTCCATGCTGGGGCATAAGGTGGGCACGACAATTTTTCACTCCTTGGTCTGAGTAAGCGAGCCTTGAGGTATCAAATCATTATGTTTGAGTGTTTAAAGGCCACGCCATCTATCCTCCCACTCAGGGCAGGAATTCTTGCTCCCACCTTTCCTTTCCTGAAGGTAAAATAGGAAGCACAAGGACGCATACTCGAGTCCCCAAAGAATGGCAGGATGCCCTCAGTGGAGGCAGACTGTATTTAAATGCAATTCACCTCTTTGGGGTCTAGGAAAAGCCACCCGTAGGTTCATTTGCTGGGAAACACGGTCTGCGTGGCTGAGGCAGTGGACAGCAGGGTTGTGGCCTTGCCAAGAGCTGACTTTCTCCGGAGGTCTGTCTGCTGTCCGGAGTGGCAGCCGCTTCGGTGGGCAAATAGGACGGTCATCTCTGGGCCCAGGGACGCTGCTTCAGGCTGGGACGCCTTGAGGGTGGCCGGCTGTTCAGGCTTTCCGGAGGTGGGATGGGAGGTGTAATGTTTGGTGGGAGGAGGGCTGTAATTCTGAAATCTCACGGTTTTGACTTGCTGCAAGAGAAAGGAGAGGAAATGGACACAGGTGAGGTGGGAGATGTCTATCTCCCTGTGCTTGTCCCCACTTGAAATGCCTCATTTATGCATTCATTCTGCAAATATCTGTGCCTACCAGGAGTGTCAAGTGCTACGATGGAGGAAGTACAAGATGCTGAGCATGCAGAGGAGCATCTAACAGTGGAGAAGCCAGGGAAGTCTTCCCAGAGGCTTTCAATTGAGAACCACAAAAGGATTAGGACTTATCTGGGAGAAATAGGGTAGGCCACCACCTATGAAAACAGCCTGAGGCCAGAGGGTATGATCCCTTCTGGAAGATAAAAGAAATTTACCTTGCCTCTCTCCTCTCTACGTACGATTAAGGCCAATCTCAAGGCTTTCCTTTCCTTTGAGGCCTCTCTCCTGAAGAATCCATTTAGAGATTTCCATAATGGCCTTATAAATCCTTAGAGCACAGTTTGCACACTGGACACCTGCTGGCTGAATTTAGCCGGCAGAATGTTTGAGGGTTTGATCGACTTGCCAACACACAAAAATTGAGAGATTGCATATAAAAATCAGAATTTCATATGTCTCGTAAAAAAAAAAAATCAGAGCTCTGGCACACTGGCCTATGCCTCACTCTGACAACAGCTGACTGGACCTGAGAAGCAGTGCCCCCTTTACATGAGATGCGAGGTCTCTAGTTTATGCCAATTCCCCCTCTTCCTCTTTGCTTTCACCTCTCCTGGCCTGTTATATAACTGCCGGGTACCTATAGGTACAGTATTTGCTTTAGCCAGTCTCTGTCTTAGGGCCTAATGCAGCGTTCTGTGGTACTGCTCGGGAATGATGTCTTCCTTCCATGTAATTCAATCCTTGTGTCCCCCACTAAGATCTGAGTTTCTTCATACTTTCTGACCCTCGTCATATCTAGCTAAGATCTGGGCATTTATGAAATGCTTGCAGTTGTATCTAAAAGTTTGGAATAATAGGCAACTGGGGCCTAGAAAACTCTGAATTATTTCTGTAATTCGGAATAAGAACTCCCAACCTTTATATCTGTCGATGCTTTTTCCAATGCCTTTCCCTATGAGCTTATAGCTTAGCAGTAAGAGTATGAGTTTTGTAACAGATCTGGATTCTACTTCACACTTATGTGTCAGCTGTGTGGTCTTGGGTAATGTTCTTTAACTTCCTGAGCTGCCATTTCCTGATTTTAAAATGAGGATGAAACTAACGCCTATTTGAGAGGGTTGTTGTCAGGATTAAAGAGACGGGACACATGAAGTACTCAGCACCGTGTCTGCCAGCTTGTTAGTATTCGGTAACTGGTTAACCAATATCACATCCTCTTTCCGTGGTGAGGGGAATGGACGGTGATGGTGGAATGATGCTGATGGCGGTGGTGATGGAGGTGGTGATGGCGATGATGTGATGATGATGGTGATGTTCCATAAATTAAAAGACAGCAATAAGCATCACTTAACTTTCTTACTGCCTTCTCTTGCCACCATCCCTCCTGCTTCACGGATATTATTGAGAACATAAGCCTTTTACAAAAACTCTTATGTCTTCTAGTGGGAAATGTCCTGAACTAGGAGTTAACAGATCTGACCTCTGCCACGGAGGTCACAATAAGGTAGTTGCAGTCATTATCATTCAGTGTCACCTCGATGTCACTTACATTATCCTGTGTCTCAGTTGCCTCTTTTATACAATGCATAATTATGTGTCAAACCCTATGTAAGCACTTTACATATCTCATTTAATCTCCACTCCAATACTATGTGGCCATTACTCTTTCTACCTCCATTTTACAGATTATGCAAAGTAAGTGTCTCAGAAGGGTGAAGTATTTTGACCAAAGTCACCCAGCTAGCAAGCAGCAGAGCTGGAATTCAAAACAAGATTCGTCTAATGCCAAAGTCATGCTTTTTTTTCCAGCCACTTTTGGGCCTCAAAAGATGTACAAAATATTCAGGAAACAGAAAGGTGAATCAGTAACACATGTAGGGAGGGCGTGGGTGACGTGGGGATGTTGGCCATGGCTCGGTGGGGAGTTGGAGGAGAGGAGTGTTGTGCGTGAGGATTCTTTCAAGGTTGCAATTTTGGTTCCTTGTTCACCAACACTAAAATCTCAGAGCTGAGACACTATGCGTAGTAGGCGATTGAAAGAGTCGGGCCCCCAATGTCACTCTGATCCTACCTTTTCGATGCCATTTCTTGAGTTTTCTGGTTTCACCAGGATGGATGGTGGGGCAGATGCAGGTGGTTTTGGCAGAGGCTCACTCTTGATGGGGATTTCCTTGTCTTCCATGATGAGGGAGCTGGCTGCCGAGTGGATCCGGGCCTCGCTGCCCCTGCTGATGCACGTGAGGGCGGGCTCCCCCGTGAGGGCAGACTTGGACCCCATGTCCACCACCATGGTCGAGGGGGAGGAGGGGACCCCCTGTGGCTGGTAGAATTGGAACTGCTGAGGCCGAACAACCATGGTGGGGCTGCGTCTGAGGGAGCCTACCACGAGAGTGGGGATCCCGGACTGGATGGGTCTCTGCAGGGATCCATCTGGGGAATTATAGGACAGAAAAATCAGCAGCAGGGGCGGCTGGCAGTAGGTTGGGTGGGGCTAGGTAAGCAGTGCATCCTGATATCCCAGAATAGACAAGTGCTTTCCTCATCTGACTGCACTCGCTTTCTCTCGGGGTCTTTCAAAGGTGACTTTATTCTTTTTTTAGTGCTGTTTGCTGATGCTGGCAGCAAATAGCTCTCTGGCTGAATGGTGTGTGTGTGTGTGTGTGTGTGTGTGTATGTGTGTGTGTCTGTGTAGGGGAGCTGTCAGAAGGTATATTGCTTCCATTTGCCTTGTGACACACACACACACACACACACACACACACACCCCCCATGTGAAGCAGACACAGAGGCAGGCAGACCAAATAGGAAACAAATGACAGAATCAGAGACAGGAGATAGAAGAAATTGAGAAACACAAAGGAGAGGCAACCAAGAAGAATGAGAAAGAGGAAAAGGAGAAAGAGGAGGAGAGAGGAAAACTCTGCCCAGCGACTTGCCGTGAAAATCCTAACAGAAGCTTTAGGCATATGAGGGGTGGGGGTTGCTTTTTGTCGGGGGCTGCAGGGAGAAAGGGTGAGTGGAAATAACTGTGATTGTTAGGCAAGCACAACAGCAGATAGAGGCAAATTTGGAAAGGTTATTCCACAGTTAGTGCTGTGAGGATGGGCTTTGCAATGTCTCACGACAGAGCATCTGGAATCGGACCTCCTCCTGGAGAGCCTGGGATGAGTTAAGTCATGTCACCTCTCTGTACCTTCGTTCTCTCATTTGTAAGCTGGAGATAATAACAGTACATCATTGGGCTGCTGTGAGAACTGCATTCTATCACGTGTGCAAAGTGTTAGGATAATGCCTGGAACATGAAAAATGCCGTATGTTTGTTAGCTCTTATTATTTTTGGGTAAAGGATTGCATATCCTAAAAATGCAAGGTCCAAGAGCTTGGTTTTGTCCCTTCCTGAGCTCATTCTTCTTCTTCTCTCTCTTTCTCTCTTTTTTTTTTTTTTTTTTTTAAATTGAGATGGTTCTATCTCAGGAAAAGGTCATTTCTTCCCCTCAAATTCTCTGGAAGGCAGGAGATCCCCGTCCCTTGGACATATGTCCTGAAGGTGACCTGGGGAATCGGGAGTTCATTGCATTCTGTGGGGAGGTGGAGGAGACACCCCTGAGAAACACAATGGGCCATTTCTCCATAAGGGTTCCACAGCATTTAGAGAGCTGTAGGTTTTGTCCCAGCCAGAGTTGTTAGTCCTTTGTGACACTCCACGGACTTGAGTTTGAATCAAAGTCATTTGTGTCCAACACAGAGGGTCTGAGCCAAGGCCATGTTGGCATTGCGACTTCTTATCAAGCCAGTGGTGTACATGAAAAGCAGGACACTCGCTAAACACAGTCGGTGTCCTCAGCTGCTGCAAGCAAGCCAGTTACCATTTACACAAGTGTGACCTTTCCATTTAGACATTTATTTCTCCACTGACGCCCTGTGAGGTTCACGTGGTCAGTTCTCCTGCCATTTCTCTTTGCTCTGGAGAGACTGAGAGCTTGCCAGCCTCACCTTGGGAAAAGAGAGAAAGAGAAAGCCTCTGGGACCTGGGAAGTCAAAGCAGCACCAGGCAGACATGTCCTCAGGCTCTTGTAAATGTGTGAAAAATTGGCTTTATGCCTTATCTATTTATCTTGTCAATTCCTAATTTCCAAGAGATTTAATGCTTTCTTATGACATGTGCATACAATGCAAGCAGTCAAGGCTCCATGCCAATCAAGATTTTGCAAAGGTGGAGAGGGAGTATGTTAAGGAAAGTGTGAACAATTGCTTTCAGGATGCAACTCTGCATACCTAAGTGGTCTAGACTGAGTGTGAACATTTCTTCTTTTTTTAAATCAAATATATATAGATACTAACAGCCCAGACTGTAGTGCAGTAGGAGATTGTAGCTCACTCCAGTCTCAACCTCCCTGGCTCAAGCCATCCTTCCGCCTTAGCCCCAAAAGTAGCTGAGACCACAGGCATGTGCCACCATACTTGGCTTGTTCTTTTAATATTTTTAGAGATGAGGTCTCACTATATTGCCCAGGCTGGTCTTGAACTCCTGAGCTCAAGTGATTTTCCCACCTCAGCCTCCTGAAGTGCTAGGATTGCAGGTGCGAGCCACACACATTCAGCCGTGTATGAACATTTCAGCCTTAAGTGAATTTGTGCTCTGGATGGACCAAAGATGATCTTGATTGTAGTAGCAATGATAGTAATAAAAAATATAAAAAACAAAAGTTTCCTGACAGATTACTATGTGCCAGGCACTGTGCTATCAGCCATGTATGGGTTGTTTTATTAAGTTAACCCTGATGAATTTTTATTTCCCATTTACAGAAGAGTGAACTGAAGGCGGAAGAAGTTAGTCATTTTCCCAAGGCTGTTGTGGTGGGATTACTTATTGTGTGTGTGTGTTGTGGGGAGAGGTGGAGGGAGGTACAGGAAGGTGATGGAGGGAGGCATGGTTGAGTGGAATGAAGTGCCCAGAATTGCCGGACTGGTGGTCAAACAGGCTGTCAGATGAAGGCACTGGACAGTGAAGCTAAGATATGTGCTTTCTTTTTAAGGGGAGATCTTTGCTTAAAAAGGGGCATATTGTCCCACACGTTACTCTTCTGCCTTGACCAATCATACTGCGTTTTCATGTTAATTCATCTGTTAAGATCACAAGAGAGATTGCAGAGCTTAGTTTAATTCAGGGAACACAGAACAAATCATATTTACTGGGCTTGGCTTGTCTTCTTCTACAGAAGTATAAGAAAATAAAGTCTTGATGTTTTGTAGAAGAAGTGGGTTTCAAACACTTTTTACAACGCCTGAAAAGGAAATCTTATGGAGAAGTTCACTATGTGAAGAGACAAAAGCATGGTTCTTGAGAATCGGTATGTATTGCCATGTGTGCAACGTGGATGTTATGATGGTAAAAATAAAGCAAGGTGCAGAATAATGCAGTGAATATTATTAACAGGTATGTGTGTTTCCTATCTATCTAAGGAAGAGAACTTGGGACTCAGGGTTAAGGATATGAGAGAGATTTGCTTTTGTCCAGTTTGTGTACTGTAAACCTTTTTTAAAAAGTTCTATGCATTCATTACTTAAATAACATAGTGGGAATCAGGGGCTCTGATCACTGCCTCCTTAATCCTCATTTCCCACTCCCATACCCTGCCCACCCACCCCATCCTTCTGTTTCTGTTGTGACACCCTCTGAGGCATTCCCTGCGGTACAGTTTGAGAAGCACTGACCCAGCAAATGCTTTCATCACTCTAAATAAGAGCCAGTGTCCACGTTGGCCATGTTCTAATTATGTGTTGGCACTCAGGGCTGCCATCACCCCAGTCATTCAACAAGCATGTATGAAGTAACCTAGGGCCATGACCTTGAGTTAGTATGACTTCATTCAATAAAACTCATCATTTGGGAATTGTACAATACCCTTTGCAGGGGCTTAGTTTAAAGCCAAGATCCTGTTTTTGCAAAAAGCATCCTGTGTACCCCGGGGTCAGATCCCCCCATCACTTAGCTCTAGGCACGTACCTCTCTGCCACCACTTACTCTTTCTCATGCTGCTCCGCCCTTTCCGAAGAGACCCTTGTCCTAAAGTCCCAGGGCCGGCTGTGCTCTTCACGGGGTTGACTATGGCAGTGGGCACAAAGACGGATTTGAATGGACGGCTTTGCCGGGGATCACCTTCTGAAATGCTGCCTTGGGAGGACACAGAGGAGGTGGATAACGTCCATGTAGCGTAAAGACCAGGGCTCCGGGAGTCTGGAAAACTAGAGGTCTTTCTGGTTTTGGACATTTTTTTTTTAAGAGAAGAAATAGAGAAAGAAAATGTTCAGTCAAGAGTCCTATTTAAAAACCTATCAGCTCCCAACCACATACCAAATGTGGCTACTTCTCAGCTTCTTCCCACCCATACACACCCGTTTTGTCAACTACAGGCTTAACTAAAGTTGGCCCCACCTCCCTACACCCAGATAACTGTGAGGGTGTGCTGAGGGAAGGAAGGGGGCTCATATCAAGGCCTTGGTGGAGTTAGAAGACTTGAATTTCATCCTTTTTCACTCCAGTTCTGATCATTCCTCACCCCACATCCCTTTAGCCCTTAAACTCAGAACATAAGATCCTGTACGTGTTTATTTCGTTTTACGGTGGCAATTTCTCGTGGAGTCATTGACTTTCACAAATTCCAAAGTCTTTGAAGGCAGAGATTTCATATGACTTATATCTCTGTGTTCTGCATATACTGTGGATCAATAAACATTTGTTATATGGCTGCCATGCTGCTTTCAGCACTGACACATCATTTTGGCTAACACATATAGAGGGCTTACTGTATGCCAGGTATTGGCCAAGTGCTTTGCCCATATTTTCTCATGGGTTCTTTACAATAGTCTTTTAAGGTAGGTACTCTTAGTGCCACTATTTTATCAATAAAAAACACAAAGACTTACAGTTGGTTGCCCAAGCAACTACTTGAACCCAGGTCTAGGCTGGCTCTCTGTTCTTACCAGTGAGCTACACCACCTCCTGGCTAGTTGGAACATTCATCATAAAGGCAGGAAAAGTCCTTTATTCTGCCTGAAATTAATGAACTAAAGCAGCTGGTAGGCCCTGCATATGCCTCCGTAAGACTTTAATTCTTCAGCCTTGGGCTATGATTTTCAAGAATTGCATTAAAGTTTTATGAAACAACAACCCCTTATCCACTGTTTCCAGCCTGCAGCTCCCTGAACTCCATGGGGAGTGACTGTCATTTTACATGCCTTTCTTGCCCTTTAACCAACCCATTCCCAACATCACAGTTCCTACTGAGCAGTCCATTAATCACCTTGTCACCCTGTTGATTAAGTAACCTCTGCTAATTTCCTGGGAATAACCAACTCAACTCAGACCCCAGCACAGAGATGCCAAGTGGTTTCCTTCTTACCAATGCCTCCAAGTTCTCCTTTAGGTCATTTACCCTCATTTCTCCTCTCTCTCTTTGTCTCTACTTCTTTTGATCGACAAAGTAATATATAGTTTAACAACAAGCCAGTATTGTGTAATGATAAGTAAGGCATTGTTTGTGGTCAGTGCTGCCCAAGAAGTATATTCAACCAAATGCTCTAGGAACTGATGCTCGCAGCAAGGGGACTTCTACCCATAGCTGTCTACCCAACCTGTCTGGTCCCCGTGGGGGTGTAGTCAGTGAAAACGAGTAGGGCCATTCATTAGAGACAGGTCAGGCTATATTCTGGGGACAAGGCCTGGGCAGTGGAGAGAAATCCCCAGCATTGGCTTCCATGGCAGAGTGCAGCTGATCTGCCTATTTTGAACAGAGGCCTCAAGGTGTTGGATGCTGCAAAGTGGATTGGAAATAGGAAAGACAAGTTCCAAAATTTTCCCAGTGGTAGCAGCAGCAGCAGCAGCAGCAGCAGCAAGGGCAGAATACAGCTAATTAGGCCCACACCAGCCTTATTCCATCAGTCCCTTTTATGAATGACTGTTTATAGACCAAGGTGTGACCTCATTTTTCTGAGCTCAACACTGAGCTGGATTCCAGGAACTCCTAAATCCCAAGTCCCCCATCCAACACTGAGTGCCTCTATGTCTTTTGGCAGAAAGCTCAGCACTTATCTAGCACTTTCTTCCAATGTCAAAACACTTTGCTATCATTTTTAATCCTCGTGACACCCCCAGACCTGCAGACATTATGATCTTTGTTTTCCAGATGGAGGGACTGAAAGACATTCTGGGCTTAGGTGGGAAGAGTGGATGTTGCCTCTGATTTGCTCCACTGTGCACGTCCCTACATCCTTTTCTCTAACTGGGATGTTAGCCCTTAAGAGCTGGCCCAATATTCAAAAAGGGCATCACAAACAGCAGCTGTGCTGTGTTCACCACTGGCAGCAGCCTCCCAGTGAGGAGAACAGTTGGACCTTGACAATTTTTGTATAGCTCTGTGTAGAGTTAAAGGCAAATGAGTGGTGGCCCATTTGTCACTTTTCTCCACCCATAAGGCACCAGGTAGGCACATATGTTTGCGAAAGTTGCAAGAAAGAGGAAGACCCTGGCTAATTGGGCAGACGGGAATTTATTAGGAGGACAGGAAGAAGAGTAGAGGACTTGGAAACAAGATCCAAGAAGGCTACAGGGAGCTCAGCAGCAGGAAGAGTCCAATCATGTGCTGTGTCTGGTGCTCTCACTATGAATGGTCTTCAACTTTACCCACATCTTTTCCTCCCTTGTTCAAGTTTCCAAGTCCCAAGAGGGAGTGTCATATTGGCTGAGCCTGACCCTTAGCTGTGGTGATGAGTTGGGGAGGAGGAGGATTGCATTTCTTCAGCCTCTGAAAACAAAGGAAACCTCTGCCTCCCACCAAGACTACACACAATAGGGGAGACCCAAAGGGATGTTGCTGCTATTAAAGAGGGATTTAGATGCTGGACAGATGAAAACTTGACAAATGTTCTGTATAACCTGAGGATCTGGGAAGAGGCAACATGGTGGCGGAGATTTAGCTGTGGTCAATAACAGCTGGACAGGTTGGTGTCATCATCTAGCACAGAGGGCTGGACCACAGAATAGCACAACAGACTTTTCCTCTCCTGGTAGCTGAAAGGCTCACTTGCTGACTCTTAAATTGAAATCCTAGCATTCTGGTCAATTATAATCTCTAGTTTATCCCCAAATTCTGGCTGGCTCAGTTCATTAGGGGATGATGTTAATAAGAACATAGGCTCAAATGCTCACATGTTTGGGCCCTGGCTATTTTATAAAAGGCTGCAGTATATACCAAGGGGGCTGGATGGCAGTTAAAAGCCATCACTACAAACAGAAGACAAAGGCTAGGGGCAAAAGGACCCAAACACAGAGAATCAAAGAGCAGAAAGGGGCCTTGCACATGTAGCCCAATCCACTCAGTTCTTACACAAAACTTGCTAGTAGTAGCAGAAACTCAGCTGACAAAGGACAGTATTATTCATCCCTGAGACATGGGAAGAAGTAAACTTCCCACCAAGGAAAGGGTGGTTAAGAACAAGGGTTACCTGCCCGCAGATAGACAGACTGGGTATATATCATTGATGTCAGAGATTAGTGGAGATGGGAGCTTCTTTTTTTTTGCGCATCAGAGGGATCATCAAGGAAACAGTATAAACACATTGAAAGCATTGATCCTCTGCCACCTAAGAACTCTCAGGAGCATATCCTCTATATGCACTTGTTCTTCTTCAGGATGTTGGTTCCCCATAAACAAAACCATGCCTCAGTGTTAGCAGCACCTCAATATTTGCATATGTTCAGATTTCCTTGAACTGGGAGTGAGGGGAGAACTCAATGGCAACCTATTGTGCTGAAACTCCATCCATTGCCTGACACGTAGGCATCTCACAAGGGGTGAGTAGAGATGCTTATGACTTGCCCAAGAACACAATAGACCGACCTCGGCCAAAGAGAGAAATGAAAACTGGAGCTTTGAAATACACTGGGATGAAATTCTATACACATTCTACTTAGGATGACCACATGGCTCGATTTTCCCAGGAGAGTCTCAGTTGATACCTGCCCAAAAGTGTCCTAATTTGGATGATTAAGCATATGGTCACTCTTATTCTATTGAATCTTTGATGGTGTAACCAGTATTTGGGACTAAGGCCTGATGGATAAGCAAACGCCCTAGTCGTAGGGATGGGCCCTGGGGAATTCATGTTAAAGCCATGGAAAAAACCTTTCATAAATTAGGGTAGGCATCCTCCTTGCTCCTCACTGTCAGTTCTAGGGCATTTCCCACCCTCCTCAATACTTCCCAACTTTGACTCATATTATCAGGCTCGACTGCCCACCACTCCACCGTCCTGCAGTCAGCATTTACTCTCCAGGTTTCTCCTCTCACTCCTTGAAGATTTCAGCTTCTGGCTTGTTGTCACTCTCTGGATACAACTCATCCCACCATGATGATCTCATCTCGTTTCAGGGCTTTAAATAGCATCTCAAGGCTGGAGTTCTCTCTTAAATGCTAAACTCATACATTCAGCTGCTTACCAACATCTTTACTTGGATTATTAAGAGGCATCTCAGGCTTAGTCTGCTCTGAACTAAGCTTTTACTTCCCTCTATACCCCCAAACACGCTCCTTTTATGGAGCAGTCGCTATCTCATTTAAAGGCAACTCCATCTTCCAGTCACTCAGGGAAAACAACGTGGTCTCACCTTGGATCCTCTATTCTTTCACACCTGACATTTTATCTGTTAGAAAACCCTGTTGTCTAAGGTATACTCAGAATCTAACCACTTCTCCCTACCTCAACAGCTAACACCTTGGTTCAATTCACTATCACCTCTCCCCAGGATTATGGTATCTTCTTAGCTAGTTTTTCTGCTTCCACCTTTTCCTTTGTATAGTTTATTCTCAACCCAGCAAATAGAGGGATTCTGGTTAAATGCAACTAAGATTATGTCACTCTTCTGCTCAAAACCCAGCAACAGGCTTAAAGCCAAACCCCTCATTATGACCTAGGAAATTCTTTATGACCTGGCTACCCCATTACCAGTCTCACCTCCTTTCTAATCTCCCCCTTGCTTGCTCTAATCCAATCCTGTTGGCTTCATGTAACCTGTGTCCTCCCGGTTCAAGCAATTCTCTTGCCCCAGCCTCCCCAGTAGCTGGGATTACAGGCATTCACCATCACATCTGGCTAATTTTTGTATTTTTAGTAGAGATGAGGTTTTGCCATGTTGGCCAGGCTGGTCTGAAACTCCTGACCTCAGGTGATCCACCCACCTCCGCCTCTCAAAGTGTTAGGATTAACGGCGTGAGCCACTGCGCCCAGCCTACTACAGGACCTTTGTTTGTACTTGCTGTTTCTTTAGCCTGGACATTTGCCTCAGAGATCCACATGGTTTGGTTCCTGCCTTCCTTCTTACTTCTCAGCAAAGCCATCCCTGACCAACCTATGTAAAATTGTAACCACCCCCAAAAATCCTATCATCCTTTCCTAATTTTTTTGTTAGCCAGTATAATTAACACATCATATAGATTACTTAAACATCTTGGCTTTAAAAATATTCGTCTCTCCCACTACAATGTAAGCTCCTGTAAGCAGGAATTTTGTATATTTTGTTTACTGGTATTTCTCCAGTGCCTGGAAAAGTTCCTGCCATGTAGTTGGCACTCAATATTTGCCAAATAAATGAATTAAAGCATCAATTGTAGACCTCAGTTTGCCCTTAGGTATTTTACAACTTTGTAACCAATTTCAAGAACTTTCCTTTGAAAGGAATAGCTATGATCTTTCATCCCACTTTCTGCCACATGAAGAAATCTTTTTATACAACCTTAGATCTATGAGGACTCAGGCCAACTTTGCCTGCACTCTTTCTAAAAAGAGTCCACCATCTCACCAGCTAGCCTGGTTGGAAAAATCTATGCATTAGAAAATGCTGCCTTTTATTGAACCAAGATGTTCTTGAACATCTTAGTTTACTGAACAAGACCAGTTGCATACACTGGTCCACTCCACTGCCCCCTCTCAGAACAAATTTACTGCCCTATTTACACAGTATCTTACGATCCCTCTGCCCCTTGTCTTCTACAGGTTAAATAATCCCAGTTTCTTTATCGGTTTCTCCCATGATGTAGTTTGCTGTCTCCTCACCATTATTGCTGCCCTCCTCTGGATGCAGCGCCTCACCTAAATGAAGGTCCCCAAAAGTGGGCATATGACTAGGTCTGACCCCCCCAGAGTACAATGGGGCCCTTTCCCTGTGATTGTGACCCTCTGGTATGTCATAAAGACAGTACTTGATGTGTGGTGGTAGCCTCACTGCCTTGAGACAGGGTTTGCTTGGGCTGATATGGGGTGGAGGCAGGAGGAGTCATGGATAGTATTGGGGTCTGGGTGCATTTGTGGCAGTGGTATGAGGTGGCAAGACAAAGAGGGGGTCAACGACATGAATAGTATGCCACACAATGTAAAAGATCGGGAAAAGCTGTGAGGGAGGAGGCCCTGCAGCGTGACTAGCATTTCATCTTGGGTGTGGAGGAAGAGGTCGGGGTCTGAGTTCATGGAAACTCTGATTAGGGGTCACTCTAGCAGCCTGAGAAGTTTCCCAAGGTGCTCTACGGAAGTCATCTGACCACATTTCCCCATCACGCCACTAGATGGAGCATTGGGATAGAGGATGTGAAGTGGGGTTCTTGGGATTTGTGCAGAAGAAAACCTGACATCCAGTTCTTGAGCAAGTTGCTTAACTCTGCACACCATTTTCATCTGGAACATAATATCTACCTTACAGGATTCTTGGGCACAGCCAGTGAGCTAAGAGATACAAAAGTGCTTGTAAACTGTGAAGGGCTACAAAAAAGATAACTAGTTTTGCTATTTTGTTTAAAAGAGATAGGCGGGGTTAGAGAGCAAAAAGCACTTTCTTGGCCTGTTTGTTGAAAGAGCATTGGGTCCTCCACCAGTTCAACCCACCGATGGCCCCTGGCCTAGGGTGGCCTGAGCTCCCAAAGTCTGAGATTGGAGGTGACGCACCTGAAAATGGGGATGACGTAATTGTTTGGGAAGATGCCGACTCGCCCGGTGACCAAGGAGACGCCCCTGAGCCAGCCGTCCTGGCACTTCCCCAGGACCCTGACACCTTCTCCCTTTTGCAGGTCCAGCTCATCGGGTCCATGGGCTGAGTAGGAGTGCAGGGCTACAAACCTGGGAAGACACAGAGAACTGATGAGGAAGGAAGATGTGCCTGATGGGGGGCATGGAGCGGGGGAATGGTGGAGGAAGACTGCCTGGTGGTTAGCAATAAGAAACTGTCGCCCAGGCTGGAGTGCAGTGGCTCTCGCCTGTAATCCCAGCACTTTGGGAGGCCGAGGCAGGTGGATCACCTGAGGTCATGAGTTCGAGACCAGCCTGGCTAACATGGCGAAATACCATCTCTACTAAAAATACAAACAATTAGCTGGGCATGGTGGCATGTGCCTGTGGTCCCAGCTACTTGGGAGGGTGAGGTAGGAGAATCGCTTGAACCCAGGAGGTGGCGGCTGCAGTGAGCCGAGATCGAGCCACTGCACTCCAGCCTGGGCGACAGAGTGAGACTCTGTCTCAAAAAACAAAACAAACAAACACCGCCCCCCCAAACAAAAACAAAAACAACAAAGAACCTTCTTAACACAGAAACCTGGACATGTAAGGCAGATAAACATGGAACACCTTTGTTGAAATAGTGGTGGAGGAGGCCAGGTCCCTGCCTTCATCTCCCCATCGTCCTCCATACAGTGCACAGCAGCAAATCACTAATTTAGGCCAGTCTCAGTACTTTAACCATGGGGAAACAGCCTCCAACAAGGAAAGGAGTTTGCGACAGGAATTCATGTCAGAGACGAGCCTCAAACCTAGAAGGTGCTGCTCTACCTAGGATGCTTTTGTACTAGTGCTTGCTGGGTCCCCAAGGAAATGGTGGCAGCCAGCAAGGCTCAGGGGAACAAGGGGTCGGCATAGAAGCCTCTCTGATCCAGAAAGCAGGGACGTGTTTGACTCCCGGGAGTGGCCTGAGGAGCCAACTTAATGTAGGTGGGGAAGTAGATGTTGGGAAGTGGGAGGCAGGAGGTAAGTTTTGGGTTTGGCACCCAGGGGAATCCTGGCTGCGTGGCGGGACTGTGAAACTGGCCTGTGTCATGGCAGAAAGTCCTCAACTTAGAGCAGAGACTTTGCTCCCTGAAGTCCATACAGGAATCAGGCAGGTAATATCCAGGTATGAGTCAGAGGGGTGAAGGCAATCAGGACGGCTGAGGCTGTGGAGGTGAGAATAGCTACCTGATCCAAGGCGTTCAGGGAATAATCCATTGGTTTGCCAGATTCAGGGGTCACCAGTATATGGCCCCCAGGCATCTCAGACATCAGGAAGCCCTTCCAGACTCCAAGGACTATGAGACACTGGAGCATTTTATCAAAGGGAATGGGGGAGTGTTCTCTACAAGGTTTTTTTTTTTTTGTTTTTTCTTTCTAAAATGCTATATTTAGTTTTTGCTGATTACTAAAACAACATCTATTTATGACCCAACATTTTGAATCTAAAGCAAGACAATAGAAATTGCTCAATACCAATCTCCCAGTGATGTTGTGGTATATAATCTTCCAGTCTCTTTCTACTTTTGTAAAATAATGAGCTAAGAGTGATGTGGTTTGCTAATTTGTGTTGTCCTTTTTTTTTTTTTTTTTTTTTTTTTTTTACTCTAATTTTTTTTTCTTTTTTTTTTTTTTTTTTTTTTTTTTGAGACAGGGTCTCACTGTGTGGCCCAGGCTGGAGTGCAGTGGGATGATCGTAGCTCACTGAAGCCTCAAACTCCTGGGCTCCAGTCATCCTCCTGCCTCAGCCTTCTAAGTAGCGAGGAAAACATGTGCACAACCATTTCTGGCTAATTTTTAAATGTCTTTGTAGAGATGGGGTCTCACTATGTTGCTCAGGCAGGTCTGGAACTCCTGGGTTCAAACAATCCTCCTGCCTCAGCCTACTGAAGTGCTGGGATTACAGGTGTGAACCACTGCGCCTGGCCCTAATTTCTGTTTTTCACCATTATTTCACTTGGAATTGGTAAAGGAAGGTGACCTATTGTCTCTCTGGATGGGACGGTTTGGGAATGGTGATGCTAGATCACCACTGTACATGGTAAAGATGACCCTTTTGTGCCAGACTGGGGTGAAGGGATGAGCCTTTTACTCACATGTTTGCTGAGAGGTGTTGCTGGGAGCCAGGCAGACCGACCATGGCTGTGCAGTGTCCCGGAGAGACAGGTGCGGGGTGATAAGTGCTGACCTGCACGGACAGAAAAGACAGCCAAGCAGGACCAGTGAATGCCACAACCCAGGCCCACAGCAAACAGAGCAGCTACACAGAAAGACCTGACACAGCTGAAAACCAACAGCCATGCCCGGTGCCACCCATTGTGCGTCCTCTCTATGGTTTGTGGCTGTGGGCACAGGGAGGTGGGGAGGAGCTGGTTTATGGCCTGCTGGGGTGGCATGCCAGGACCGCATTCCAAAAGACTGCTCAGATAGGGTGGAAGATGAAGAACCGTCCAATTTACAGTCCACAGGGCACTAGCAGGCTCCTCCTCCTGTCCCTCTTCCTACCCCACCCATCTCCCTCTATGAAAACCTGCTCTTGGAAAATGAAACAGTGGAGAATATTGATTCAGAACTGAGCGCTTGCAAGGCAGTTTGAAATGCTTTATAAGTATCAGCTAAGTTAATCCTTATTAAAGGAACTGTTGTAATCCCCATATTTGGATGAGAAACTGAGACAAAGACAGAAAGAAAGGTTACACAATTAGTATGAAACAAAGAAAATCTAAAATCAGGCAGTCCAAGTTCTGAGTCCATACTCATTATCGACTATTGCTAGAATTACACACACACACACATACACACACACACACACACACACGCCTATCCAACGAGTTATAGAAGTTGAATTTGAATCCCTTTCACTTTTCCAGGATAAAAGAGGAAACAATAATGATAAAACAATAAAAGCTCCTGGAAGGCTGGGCTCAGTAGCTCATGTTTATAAACCTAGCACTTTGGGAGGCTGAGATGGGAGGATTGCTTGAACCCAGGAGTTCTAGACCAGCCTGGGAAACATAGTGAGACCCCATCTCTTTAAAAAAAATTAGCTAGTTGTGATGGCAGGTGCCTGTCATTCCAGCTACTCAGGAGGCTGAGATGGGAGGTTCGCTGGAGCCTGGGAGGTGAAAGCTACAGTGAGCCATGATTGTGCCACTGCACTCCAACCTGGGTGAAAGAGTGAGACGCTCTCTCAAAAAAAAAAAAAAAAAAAAAAGTTCCTGGAAACTGCCTACTATCCCAGGGCTTTGGCAAACATATTGCCTTGCTTACTTTCTTCTGAGCACATATCACAGATTATGAGTGTTTCCTTGCTAGACTGTAATTCCATGAGGGCAGGGACGATGTCAGTCTGGTTCATCATTGTATTTCTGCATGCTCAATATGTAATTGTAGCTTAAAGAACAAAGGGATGAGTAAAGGAATGAATGAAAAGGTCTTCCTACCTAGTACACCAAGGATAATGAAACCTTCTCCATGCCATCCAGAGTAAATACATTCAGTCTCTTCAGTCATCTATGATGGCTACACTGTGTGTGCCTTTTTAGGACTATGCTGTTGTGGGTATAACTATTGTTTGTGTATTTGTGTTTATGCAGGTGTGAGTGCATTATTAAATACATATGTCCCTTTGTTTTGAGCAAATGTGTATGTTTGCTCAAAGCCCGTGTCAATTCAGTATACATGTGTGATGGCATTGGGCCATTGCAAATCTGGTTTTGTTCACACATGTGGTCTATGGATTGATGTGTGTATGCTGCATGTGCTGCGTGAGATTGCAGACACAATTGCCTAATGGATTGTAAATATCTGTATGAGATTCTGTGTGTATGCACGTGAACTCTAGAGGTGTGTACAGGTATGCCCACCATGTAATTTTATACATGTGTCTGTATCAATGATTGTGTAAATGTATATGTGGTCGTCATGTATGTATTTGTGATAGTCCAAAGATCAAGTTATAGGATCAAAAAACCACTTTAGTCAAATAATAAGTGTTGGTGAGGAGGTATAAAAATGGAAACCCTCATACATTGCTGGTTGGAATGTAAAATGGTACAGTCTCTTTGCAGAACAGTCTGGCAATTCCTGATATGATTAAACACAGGATTACCATATGACCCAGTAAATCCATTCCTAGAATATGCCCAAAAGAAATGAAAACATGTGTCCACACAAAAACTTATAGGCAAATGTTTCAGCAGCATTATTCATAATAACCCAAAGAGGGAAACAACTCAAATGTCTACTCATTGATGAGTGGATAAAGAAAATATGGTATAGCCATACAATGAAATATTATTCAGCCATAAAGAAGAATGAAGTATCGATACATAAGAGAACATGAATGAACCTTGAAAACATTATGCTAAGTGAAAGAAGCCAGACACAAAAGACCACATATTATTTGATTCCATGTATATGAAATGTCCAGAATAAGTCAATCTACAGAGATAGAAAATAGATGATCATTTCCAAGGGTTGGGATGATGGGGAATATGAGGTGATAGCTAAAGGGCACAAGGTTTCTTTTTGAAATGATAGAATATCCTAAAATTGTAATGGTAATGGCTATACATCTGTGAATATACTAAAAACCACTGAGTTGTACACCTGAAATGGGTGAATTGTATGGTAGGTGAATTATATCTCAATAATAAAGAATTAAGAAGAACGAAACCATTCCACAATCACCCTCCTGAGGTACTCTTAGTACTACATAAAATGTTCTGAGTTTGTAATCAGATATTGTCACACTGGTTCCTTCAAACAGACATGACAAGGAGCTGGCTTTGGGCTATGCTGCTCCTTGCCTATGACTGGGGAAGGTAAGCCCCTACAGGGCTTATGTTTGTGGAAAGTGTTGAAGCACTGATTAAACGGGATGGACTTCACTTAACACTCTTGGATTTCCAATATTATGTTTGAGTAAAGGAACTGCTATCCACAAACACCAGTAATCCTTTAGGGAGGGGGAAGATGCCAGAATGCAAAGCCATCTTCCATTACACTAGGGTCTGTCTTTTTACTTCTCTGGGCCTTTATCTGGGGAGGGCATGTTTCCCCCATTTGGAATAGTGAGCCTGGCTAGGAGAGTAATCTGTGGGCTTGTGATGGAGTTATTTCTAATAGGGAATGGGAAAGGATGTTAGTTTCTCAAGTTTTAAAGTGTCCTGGAGGAGAAGAGAAAGGATGACATGAGAAGGAGGAGGAAGGAGATAATGAAGAAGGGGGTGAGGGGGAAATAGTGGAAAACCCTGAGAATAGAATAGGGTAAAACTAGAACAGAGATACTGTGGGAGAACGGTAGCTCCAGAGGGACAGAGCGAGGAAGGAAGGAGAAAAGAGGGAGGTAAAAACAGTTTGAACAGGCCATGTTGGAAAACAGATTGGCCATTTTTTATAAAGTTAATTATACACTTTCCATACCACTCAGCAATTGTACTCACAAATATTTACTTAAGAGCAATGAAAACATATGTCCATACAAGGACCTGTACATGAATGTTCAGAACAACTTCATTCATTTTAATGAAAAACTAGAAACACCCCAAATGCCCATCAACTGATGAATCACCTGGCAAATTGTGGTATAACCACAGCGGTGTACTCCTTAGTGATGCATGAAACAGCAGGATGAATCTTAACATCGCCCTAAGTGAAAGATGCAGGATGCTGAAGACTATATACTATATAATGCCAATTATATAAATATTTTTAAAAAGAAGCCATAACTATAGTGACAGAAAACAGATTAAGGGTTGCCAGGAGCCAGGGTGGGGAGAGAGGACTGATAGCAAAGGGGCACAGGAGAGCTTTTTGAGATGATGCAAATGTCTGCTATCTTGATGTTGGTAGTGATTACATGCTGTATGCGTTTACCAAAAATTATTGAACTGTATACTCAAAATGCTTAAATGTTATTGTATATAATTAAACCTCAATAAGGCTGTTAAAAAACGTGAATACATTATCTAGTTAAGGCCACAGGAAACATCCGAGTAACCTTAGCTTGAGTCGGCTCCAGGTCTGGAATTAGTCAGGAAGGGGACGAGAATCACTCAGCTTCACAGAAGGCAGCTAGCAAGTAACCCTCGTGGTAAGGGGCCACCTGAATAGGAGAGAAACCAAGAACAGGAAGCTATGGATCAGAGGCTCAATCAATAAGGCAAAGGAAAAATGAACGAATGAATGACTGGAGAAACAGGAAAAGAGAACAAGATAGACATAGGCAGGGAAGAGAGAAACTGGGTGGGAAAGAAGACAGGCAGAACAAGACAGAAAGGAAGGCCCCACCCGGTAAGTGAAGACAACCAGACAGATGGCTAGCTTCTGAGGAGGCAAGTCTGCTCCTGTCACTGGGATCGAAGACGGAGGCCCAGCCTTTCTGAGTGAATGGGCCTGGCCCTGGTTCGCTTCCCTGGGGTCAAGTGTGACCTCAGGTGCCCATGCCACAAGGGGTTTGTGAGGCTGGGTGGGAGGTTCTCCACCAACTGATGCTCCCTGGCACAGGGTTCCGAGTCCTGAGCAAGATCACGGTAAGTATGGGTGTGTGGGTGTGGTGGGGAAGCGCATTCTTGCTGAAATCTAAACACATTTTTTCCCTCCCTTTTGAAGGAAATGACTCATTTAAAATAAGTCTTTATCAACCACAGCAGAATCCACAGCTATATGGCTTCTGGGAATTTCCAGGTCTTCAGGTGCTAAGTGAGGGAGTAAGAGGGTATGAAGCCTCCTGGCACAGAGTTGCTGGCAATGCTGTGCCCTGCTGGTCCTGCTGCCTTCACCATCAGCCACCCAGGTATAGAAAGTGCAGCTACCTCTTAGGAGTCCAGGGAGGAGGTCTAACTTAGGACTCAGGCCAGTGGCTCTACCATCTACCAGGACCTGTGATCTTGGACAAGTGGTTGAATTCTGTGGATCCTCCATTTCTTCAAAATCTATAAAATGGGGCAATGATGGTATTTCTCTTTTAGAGTTGTTATGAGGTTTAAGTAAAATAATCCATGTAAGTTATTTAGCACAGGATTTGACACACTGTAAGTGCTCAATAGATACTACTTATTTTGATCTGCAAAGAGATTAGTTACTGCGTAGGGTGGGGACAGAGTGGGTGCGGTACCTCTTATGGGACAGCCTGGCAAGGTCTTGGACTGAAAGCAGGACCCAAGAATGTGGTGGGTATGGGGA